ACGTTCCACAGCCAGCAGTCTCACTGACGTGACGTTTAGTACGAAGTCCTACAATCATAGGAAAACTAACAGCATCGAACTGGCCTGAAACCTACTGTGTCCCTGGCTCAGGACACGTGTAGTAATTTACAAATACACACAATTAAACTAGCGTGTGTATATCTTATGAAAAACTTTTCGCGGTAAAAATTAACATTAAGATTTTACCAAATTTCAACACTATGGGTTTTTTTTAATCCAAATAAGCTTTCAAAATGCCTGATTAACTATGAATTAATTGCAAGTAACTTCATGTAGGATTTTTTTTTTTAAGTTTGCAAAGCATTTCAAAATGGTTATGGAATGTAACTTTTAAAATGTCAAAGTATGCTATTTACATCATGCTTTTCTGCTATGCTGGTCTAGTATCTTCCACAGCAAGACACAAAAACTACAGAATAAAATATACTTTTAAATCAGCAGGTACTTGATTAATTTCCCTGAAATTATCAGCACAATACCAAAATCTTCCAGAATTTTGTAAGATTTGATTCCTTAAGTATAGTTTTAAAGTGAAACTTACAGAGGGAAAAAACCCTCCTCCTATATTGACTTTTTATGCATTTTTTTTTTGGTTCCTCAATAATCAAAGAGAATTTTTAACAAATTATGCTCCACGTTTCTTGGCTTAACACAAAGCTACAATTTCTATTATCAAAATGAAGATAAATTATACTAATCAAAAGCTATTAATTTTGAAATGTCTATGTATATCTGTCTATAGGTCCCGTTACAGCCTTTCCAAATTTTTTTAATCAAGAGATTTTAATCAATTATATACTAGAATCAAATTAGATAAGGAAAAATTTATTTTACAGTAATAAAATCACTTCCCAACATGCTTGACAGAAACCAGCTATTTGTTTTCATTTGTGTTCCACTGAAGACATGACTGAAATCTGCCCAGTGGTTTATTTCCAAGTGGTCCACTACCGAATCCTTTGGGATACCGTAAGATTGGCTGTAGCCAGAGCTTTTTTTTTCCTTGTTTTAAATTATTATAGGTACAAAATAGTTGTCTGTCTTTATAGGGTACATGTGATGTTTGGATACAGGCATACAATGTGAATTAATCAGGGTAAGTGGGGCATCCGTCACTTCAGGCACTTATCATTTCTTTGTGTTAGGACATTCCAATTCCACTCGTTTAGTTAACCGTAGCTAGAGCTCTGACTCCATTTGCACCCTGCTCCCCTTCACTGTCTAGAGGTGGTTTTGGTATCTTACTAAGAATAGCGGCCATCTCTTTTCTCTCATCAAAACTCTCCCACTGCTCATACGGTTTTAAAATAACCCTGATTACTTCCAAAATCTTCTCCATAGCCACAGAAAGCTTGGCAAACCACTGCCTGGCACCTCTCTGCTGTACAACACAGTCTACATGTAAGCCAAGATCCGTCTGTAGGCATCATCCGCTGTCCTCCATGCCAGGGGAGCAATGTGCCTTCCTGGCCCGCATTCTGCACAACTGGAGCAGGAGTCTGTAAGGATGATACCCTAATCAAGCAACAATCCATTGGTTCTAAAAGACAGAGTTCACAGAGAATATCTACTTTTGCTTCTGTGCCAGAGCTGGTCATGTTTTATTAAAATCATAATTACTAGTTTAAGCTACGGAAAAAATATATAACACGGTCACATCATCATTAGTATTAAGGAAACGAGACACTGCCCCATATACATGGGCTTCCTCAAAGACTCAGGACCATCACCGGCAGCTTCCAGATCAGATTTGGAAAATGAGTCAGTGGATCAATAATCAGAACGTAGGTTTAGGTGTCAGCTGGTAATCCTGACGAGAATATTCTCCTCAGCTAGCTGTTCCAATGGCACAACCCTAAATTACCTCTGTATAGGGCAGAAACGTGGTGAAAAATTGCTGGGACAATGACATGGAAGTCCATTTTAAAAAATACAGATTAATACATGTAATAACATAAACATAAACCTAAGCCTTTACATTATACCACTACTGACCAGCTATTCTCCCAGTACCGATGTGCGGTCAGTGACAAGCAGCAGCAGAGAAAGTCTAAGGTGAAGAATTATTGAAATGGTCCTGTTTGTAACTTAGCAGGTATCAGTGCTGAAGAACAAACTGATGTTCCACTCATCACACTTCGCATACGAGAACTGGACAGCGCCTTGCTGAAAAGACAGCCCCTACCTGTCTCATAACTACCCACCAATGGACTCAAGCTCCCCGAATGGCCTGTCCTGCAAAGTTTCCCATCCGAGACCTAACCAATGTGCTATGACCCCCAACCTGGGACACTAAGAAAATACCCCCTCACCACACCAAGATCTGGGCCTGCTTTATCCAGTCTGGGCCTCAAGTGGGTTATAGATCTAGTGCTTCTAATGGTTCTCAAAATTCCTGCCTTTCTATTCCATGAAAAACAAGAAGTTGCCTTATGATTTTACTGCTCTTCAATTCTTTAAGCAATCATGTATTAAATGCTCTTTGAAGCAAATACTGCTCCTATGTATATAAGTGAACAACTGACAATCATATCATCGACAGAGAAAAAACGGACTCAAGATAAACCTTTGATGACAAGTGAGAAGACATAGTCTTCATTTGTTACCATGTTGACAAATTACTAAAAGAATTTTTGATTTACATCCCTACTACATTTTACTATGCTATTAAAATAAAATTAGTAAAATTAGTAATTTGACATACCATCAACAACTCTGCTGACACTTTTAATGGAACTCTCCAGGCATCTAAAGAGAGAAATAAGTTATTTTTTCACAATACATCGTTTAAATAGAAAAGTCTTTTTGTGAAAGCCTTCTCTGAGGCTGATAATCCTAGACACATCGGTAGCTTAGCTGCCAACATTGAACAGGGACGAATGTTAAGTCCTATACTTAAGTTTACAAAAATGTTTTCCAGGGCAAGGTGGGAGCGGCACGGCAGACTCCTGGCAACACTCTTGATGCTTTAGTTTACTGCACATCATCTACATGAAGTAGCACTAAAAAATCAGCAGCAAAGGACAAAGCAAACACTGGTTTGCTAAACCAATGGTATTCTAAACCAATGGTATTCACCGTCCTACTGCGTGTTGTCTGCTTAGACGTTTCTAGAGGACTGTGCCCAGCTCTGGGTAACACACCAGTTATGACAAGAGGCGGTCAACAGGAAGGACCACACCAAGCAAGGGCTGGCAGAAGGGACCAGCATGCTTACCCTGTGGGGTACAGTGGACACAGGGCCATGCTTAATTAAACCTCAGCGTTGCAGCATCTACAACGGGGACGGTGCTCCCTCAAGGAGCTGCGTCTACTGGAAGGCAGAGTGCAGCAGACATCCACCTGCTGGCCACAGGAGGCATGACAACATCCATGACACAAAAGCAGGTCAGTCAAGGCACCACAGTGACGAGAAGACAGACAACAATTCTAGGAAGCAGGGAATGTTCCACAGGGTAGGGGACATTTTTCACAAAAGATAATTGGCTTGAGAGACCAGACTAAAAGGTCTTTCAAGTGCTCCTTTCATCTCTAAGAGTCTATTAAAAGCAAACAAAAATACCAAACCAACAAAACCCTGGGCAGAGTGGGGAGAAGGAACAAAGTGTGTGGAAAGGAAATAAATGAATCAAAACCTGGAGAGCTATAGCCACGCCTGGTGGTGAGCATAAATGAAAGGTGGTAGACCAAGCATGTAAAATTTCACTTACCTAGAAGATTTAAGACTAAATGCTGAGTCGGGGCGAAGGGATCCTGTAGATTGAATGCGGTGTAACGGCCGTACTGAATCTGCCGCAGTGCCTCGAAGTTTCCCAGGAGGACGTCGCCCAGCCACTGGGCGTTCACACAGGGGATCCTCCACTCCTTGGCTTTCTCGTACTTTAAACCAGCTGGTCTTTTGGGGGGCGGGACAGAGAGGAGAGACAACATATTTATTAAATGTTAGAGTTCTCTGCTGCTTGAATTTATATTTATTTTCAACAAAAGCACTAAAAACATTTCTCACGACAGGAGTGGCAAGCATACCCTAGGCAAAGCCAGGTGACCCTGGCTGGTAACTGAGTGTCTACTTCAAGGCTTAGAGGATTAGAAGATCAGAAGACCACCTACCAGTCCTACTTTTACCTCGTTCCTATTACCTAATGTTGTTAATTCAAATTTCATTAATTCAAATGTTTTACAGGTATTTCTGCCAACATTACCCTGAACATCATTGCCATTCTTTAACAGATTTTGATTTCCACAATCAACTTTATACCACAAAACCATGATATATTAAGAAACACAGGATTGTAGAAATAGCCACTATATTGTGTGTAAATTTAAGGTTAAAAATGGTTTCAAAAATTTGCTTACTCTTTACAGATGAGGACTGTGTTGCTGCGGCACAGATAACCCGTATACTTGGCACCTGCCAAATAAGCCATTAGCTTTAGGTCATCTCTGTCACTATCAACAAATCCAGTCACAGAAATAATCTACGGGAAAAAAAGAGCAAATAAGGTGAAAAAAAAAACCCCTATCAGACTCAAGTACTATTTCTTCTACTGCTTAGTTGTTTTATAGAAATATATATTTTTTCATTATTTCTCTGGCATTATGGGACACATTTGGTAATATCACTCCTAAGAACGCCAAGACCAGAACTGTGTTAACAATAAATGTGCTACATACATAGCCTTCATAGGGAAGAAGAAAAAGAGTAAACAAGAGGTGACAAATACAGGAAAACCTTTTTTGTGTTAACATAACATTGCTCAGATAATTTTAACATAGTTATTTCATGAATCACATACGTATGAGTCAGTTCTTCCTTCTCCTTACTGATCCCAACTTTGTGATCACTTGAGTGGGAGAACCCACAACTGTTGATCAAGTTCTGCTTTTGGTGGCCTTTGATTTATTTGTGAATTTCAAATAGTGTCAAAGATTGCAGAACCCATTAAATATCTACTGTGTGCAGAAAACTATGATGGTTATATGGGAATAAAAGAAAGTAAGGTATTTCTTAATGAGCAGGCACTTATAAACTGGGCCAAAGTGCACAGAATAACACTGACTCGGAAGCCAACACTTGAGCCAGAAAATCAGTACACAGTTATTTGTCAAAGAAGAACAATGATTAAAACATGAAGCAAAATAAAAGGCTCCTGCCTTACATGCTGTGAGCACGGCTTTCCTCCTGGTGGGAATGCCACTGGGAAGTGCAGGGCTCGGTGAGGGGGCACCATTTTCTTCTTCTTCAAGACTGTGTTTAACCAGTGTGCAGTGATGCATCTCTTTCTTTCTCTTATTGCCTGTCAAACATAAAATTATAAGTTTGTTGCTTCTGTTTTTTGCTGCAGAATTAAATACAAAATCGTAAGGTTATGTAATTACAATGCTATCTTTATTGGAAGCCCCATAAATAAAATAATGTCATGACACTTAGCACTGGATTTATTAAAGTAACAAACTACAACAGTGTGGTTTAAAAATTTACTCTCTGTCTAAGAACAGGAGCCTGCAATGGGGGATAAAAGCAACAAATTTTATAACAACCTTAAAAATCACTTTAATCATGAATAACATTTATAATCATCAAAGCTGAAAGTCCCCCATAAGAACACAGAGGGCCCCACATAAGACAAGCTATAAAAAATATAACCATCCACCTGAAATAAAAAGGAGCACAGGAAAACGCCTCGTGAGTATTTCTACATTTGTAGTTGGAAAGCAGATCCAGTCAATGCTACGTTCTTTAAGAAGGGTTTCTTGGAGGTCACTCGTCACATATACTTTAACCTCAATCTATCTACAAATACGAATATTTTAAAGAAAAGAAATGAAATTTTAGGGGGTCAAAGGAGGCAGGACTGAAGAGAAAGCTTGCGCCCCAGCAGCAGAGAAGCTCCACAGGGTGTCTGCCAGTCCCGGCCCTGTGCGCACGGCTGCACAACCGCACCGATCCCGTTTCTACCCGCCGGGCATGCAGTGCGGCTAGGATGACAACCAGGAGTGTCTACCCTTTGCTTCACACTACCTGGGAACCTCTCTTTCCTTTATCCGCTCAAAAACAACGGTGTCCACAAAGGCATCTATCCCACCAAAGAAATGATGATAATTAATAAGCAGCAACTTTCTTATTTTAAGAGATAGAAAAGAGTCCTTCCCCAAAATAATTATCACCAGAACCTTAAGACTGCACATAAAAAATAGCCGGGGCTATTCTCCTCACCTGGGCATACACGCCGCTGACCTGACTCTCGCAGAGGAGGTGTGTGCATCGGCTGGTGAGTGTGGGGTCCACAGCGCCACCGTGCGCCTGGATTATCTAGACACAAAACACCCAACTGATTACTCAGGAGAACAGAGTAGAATTATAATTTCTCATAAAAGAAGCTATTAAAAGAACTCATCATATATTTATGATATAGTATGTTTCCCCAAAGAATAAAAGATATATGTTATATTTATAAACTTGTCTACCCAGCATTATAAAATGAAAATGAACTCCAATGCTTATTTAATCTGAACTTCCAGGGAGAAAGAGAAGAACAATGGAATGTACTTCTAAAACCGTTTCTCGACCTCAACACCACTGACATTGCAGTCCAGTTAATTCTTACAGTAGGGCTGTCCTACGTGTTGTGGGATGTCTGGCAGCTTCCCTGACTCCTACCCACTACACACCACCAGCAGCACTCATAGTTGTTACAACTAAAAATGTCTTCAGATGTTGTCAAACGTCTCAATGGGTGCGGATCTACCCTCCTCAAAAACCACTATTCTAAAAGGAAAATTCAAAAGCAAATCAGAACGAAATTAGTAAATACAAAAAATTTATTTTCAAAACTAGATTCAGTTTTGGGGAGTGAAGGAACTGTTCTGCATCCTGTAGTGATCACATCGTACATGGCATTTGTCAAAATTCAAAATAATGTATGCTAAAAAGGGGGGAATTTTACCATATATTAAAATACAAACTTAAAAAGGCCTGCCCCTCAAAACCCTATTCTGTTTCATTTACTTCTTTTCACTATAACTATTCACAGACGTATTTAACGAGGCACATGACAGAGCAGCAGCTTCCTCTCCCAGCCCTGCCCTCCATTCCCTCGAAGCAATTACGTTCGGCTCTTTAAGCCGTTTCTTCTGATAATTAACACATTCTAACTAGCACGTTCTATGCCGCTATTTTTTTGTTTTCCAGTTTCTTGTACTATCCATTGACCTCCTACTACGCAGGCCACCCTTCACACTCAAGCCTTCCTGACTTGCTTGTCCCAATTCTTATTTGGATCAGTCTTGGGTATTTAATGTAATGTAGTTCAGCCACATAGTTTAATAAAGCCCCCGAGATTAAAGTTCTTTTCTTGCAGAAATGTTTGTTTCCCTGGGTGTCAATGACTGCCTTATCCTGCCCTCCACCGCAATCTGCCTTTTTCTTAGTTCCATGTACCTTTCACCATTTCACGCCTAAAGTCTGCAAAGAAATGTGTACATGGTGGTTTTAAAATACGTCCACAAATTATTTTAAACTCCTCCCACCAGGAGTTGGAGCTTCACTCCCCAGCCTTGAGCACGGACTGGACTTAGTGACTCACTTCTAACTAACACAGCATGCTGGAACTGACAGCAGGAGACTCCCGTGACGCAGTCGTGAGGGGCGCAGTAACACTGTGGCTCCTCCCTGCTGTCGCGGGTCACTCACTCTGAGGAAGGAAGACAGTTGCTGTGCTGTGGACACTCAAGGAGCCCATGGAGAGCCCCATGTGGTGAGGGACTGAGGCCTCCAGCCCACGGACACGTGAGGGGCTGTCCTAGAAGTGGCTCCTGCAGCCCCAGCTGATGTCTTGACTGCGACCTCATGGACAGCCTGAATCACAATCATCCTACTAAGCCACCGCACTTTCTGACCCATGACGAAACTGTGAGATAATAAATGTTTGTTCTTTCAAGTCACTAAGTTTTGGGGTAATTTGTTACAGAGCAATAGAAAACTAATGTATTACAGTTGACCCCTGAATACAGCTTTCAAGTTTATTTCACCTCTGCCAACCCTGAGAGAGCGAGACCAACCCCTCCTCTTCCTCAGCCTACGCAACATGAAGACAAAGATGAAGACCCACTTAATGAATAGTAACTGTATTTTCTCTTCCTCGTGATTTTAACAGCATTTTTTTTCCTCTAGTTTATTATAAAAATACAGTACATAATATAACACACAAAATGTGTCACTGACAGTTCACGTTACTGGTAAGGCTTCCAGTCAACAGTAGTCTATCAGTAGTAAAGTTTTTGGGGAGTCAAAAGTTATACATGGATTTTCAAGTTCGTGGGAGTCAGCGTCCCTAACCCCCATAACTGCTCAAGGGTCGACTGGCTATGTCTCTTCTTAATCTATCAGCATCTTCTGTTTTTCACTTGTTCCTCCTGGACTCTGTCTCCTGGTACCAAGCCTGGTTCTTCCTAGTCCCGCGTCCACACCTGTCGGGGTTTCCCTCCCCATCTATGTCAGAGCCCCCGATTCTTGGCTGCCATGACTACCTCTCTGCTGGGATAGCAGCTTCCTAAGGACGAATACAAAGGAGATAAATTTTTGACCTTAGAAGTATAAAAATATCTTTAGTCCACAGTCTTGTGATTGACAGGCTGCATATACTATTCTAGGTTAGAAATTATTTTCCCTCAAAATTTTGAAGAAACCATTCAACTGTCCTCTAGCTCCCGCGTGCTGCATTTGAGACGCCTGACACTGTCCTGATTCCTGATCTTCCAACGTCTTCCCCTTCGTTAAGCTGTTTTTTCTCTTCTCTCTCAGTCTGAACTTTCAGTTCCCTTATCGTCACTCTTTCCAGTCCTTCGGCTGTATGGTAATTTCTTTAATAATTTTCTTGCCTTCATTTTCTGCATTCCCAAACTCCTCTTATTTAATGTTGGCCCTCTTGGGCTAATCCTTTAACTTCAAAAAAAAAAAAAAAAACTTTTCTCCACTATCTTTCATATCTTTGAGTTTTGTTCTACTTCTTAGGATAGTTTCTAAATGTTACCTGCTCACACCTCTGACTTTCTTTTAAGTCTTGCTGCTGTCACTCTGAGGACTGCCCCCACCTTACTTGCCCGGGTGCAGATCACCAGCCTCTGTCAACCGGCCGGCCACGGTCATCTCCCTGGTTGGTCACTCTCAAACTCACCACTTTGCTAGTGTGCAGCTGACCTCTTCCCCTGCCTCTTTTCTACATGCATAGTAGACTAGAGAAGACAGACGCAAACTCCACAGCACAGCATATAGAACAGGTCCTGCAAGACACGCCAGCCTTGCCTCTTGCCCCGCCGGCCTCACGGAGCCCACCGAGGCCCATGCCCTTTCCTCCCTCCCCAACAGTCCCTGCAATCTCATGCCTTAGCCCACATTGGTCCATCTGGAAAATCCTCCCCTAATTCTTACTCCTGCTTATCCTTTAAGACTCAGATCGGGAAGCACCTCTTCCAGGAGACTTCATAACATGCCCCCAACCCGATGGGTGAAGGCCCTTCCTCAGGCTCTCACAACACACCGGGCCTCACTCCACCCGTGCCTACCACACTGCCTCCTATCTCTGTGTGGGTGCCTGTGTGTCTCCTACCGTGCGCTACAGGGTGCTCAGTCTGTTTACTCGGCACACTTCCCCTAGGTCTTGCAGCTCGCTTGGCACGTAGCAGGGGTTTAAACACCAGGAATGCTTACAGTGAAGCACATTCAAGGTGTACTTTAGGCTTACTTAAACTCGGATTTTTTTTTTTAGTTTTTGACTCAGTTTTAATTTATGGCATTACAAGAAAAAGTATTTACTTTTTCTTTTCTTTAAGGGCCACCATGCAAAATAATAAATCAATGAATGGACAGTTCCACAATTGGGCTAGAAGACTTCGAGGCCCCTTTTAAGCTAGAGATTCTAGGATTTTCTAGTACTTGCATTTGGAGACACAGAAATGACCAAGACACACGCAAGTTAATGGTTGCTATCCTAGGTTATCAAAAACCTTATTTCCCCACCCCAAATTATTTTTATATATAAATTATTAGCACCCCTGAGAATCTCAGAGCTGAAAGAATGTTAAGAATGACAAAGTACAACATTCTCACCTAACAGCTGAGAAAACAAAAGCCAGAAAAATGATAGCCAAGGTCACAGAGAACGTTAATAATAAAAATGCCCATAACACATTCAGAATACACGTAGACATATCTCAGTAAATGCAGTCAAACGAACATAGTTACGTCTATGTTCAGAAAGGAACATCTTCAGATACAAAGTTTAACTTCTTCCAGGCACAACCTCACCCTTTTCCAGGTGGCCAGCAGCTGTTTATCAGACATCTGCTCTGGATAATCCGCAATTGCAAACACACAGCCCAGCAAGAAGCCTTCTTCTGGAACTACAATAGAATTATACAAGAAAATTAAAACCCTACAAATATGCTTGCATAAAAAGTGCCATTTGGCCAAGTTCAATTTGAACTTATTAAGTTAATCAGTCTTGACCATATGTTTCTGCCAATAACTCGAGTACATCTGGAATACTGTTACAAATATATCGCTTTGTCTATATTAAATGATCATTAAAAAGTAAAACATAATTTATGCCTGACCATTAACTACTCTGGGTCAGCCTACATGTTCTATGGAACACTAATATTCACTTCAGTATATGATGTCCCAAAGTACAAAAGAAAGGACCATTGTTCCATTACAACTATATTCTTTGTTAGGTATGAGGTTCACATTCTCCATTCTGTAATAATTACTTTGATATGAATCGTTACCCCGCACCCTCAAATACTCTCGAAGCATTCATGTAAGTGCAAGACTTTTAGCAGAGAGAGAAAAAACCCCATTACGAACTCTCCACTGCTGGATCATGTCCAAAAAGCTGCTGCTGCTGTGGCGGCGGCGGCTGCTGCGGGGGCTGGGGCTGGGGCTGCTGAGGTGGGACCTGATGCTGTAGTGCCTGGGATGTTTGACTCAAGTGTTGTGCTGATTGATTTTGCATTTGCTGCTGCTGCTGCTGTTGGTGTATGCGCTGGAGCTGCTGCTGCTGGAGCTGCTGCTGCTGCTGAATTTGCTGCTGCTGTTGCTGCTGCTGTAGCAGGTTGTGCTGCTGAAGCTGCGCGAGCTGCTGCTGTTGCAGTTGGTGCTGCTGCAGCTGATGTAACTGCTGCTGCAGGGCATGCTGTTGCTGGAACGGCTGTAGCTGCTGCTGAGGGCGATGCAGCTGCTGTTGAGGATGCAACTGTTGCTGTGGAAACTGTAGCTGTTGCTGTGAAAACGGATGCTGATGGACTTGCTGCTGTTGCTGCTGCTGTGGAAACTGGTGCGCCTGTGGCTGGGGGTAGGGCTGCTGGGAAATCTGCTGCTGCTGCTGGAGCTGCATGATCTGCTGGGGCTGAAGGTGCAGAACCGGGTGCTGCTGCTGCTGCTGCTGCTGCTGGGTCTGCTGCTGCTGTAGCATGTGTGTCTCTGGAGTCACTTTCACTTGGCTAAACAGCACTGCATTGGCATTTGCATGTCCCTGCTGGCTGTGATTCACCTGCTGTTCTAAATTTTTTGTAGGTGCTGAAAGGGACTGTAATATCTAGAAAACAAAAGTTAGGTGGAGTCATACTCAATAGTTCCTGAAATGTATTAACAGTCTCTTAATCAAGAGAATAATATCCCACATATTTAATATTCAACTAAATAGATGTGTCAAATGATTGAAAACTTCAAAAACAATACTATGTTTTTCTTTTGTATTTACTTTGTCTCGTCAATTTCAATAAGGTAAAAAAATTCCTATTTTGAGACCACCAAATTTGAAACAAGTAAAATGTAATAAGCTAGTGAATTACAGGGGACAAACACGAGACTCACACTCACTCGGCTGTTTCTAGAAAAGGGGAGTGTTCTGTCCTGTTTACTTCTGGAGTTGGCGCTCAGGTGCTCCTGCAGCGCGCTGCACCCTGCAGCGTCTCCATTGCCCACCTCCCTCCCGTCCGCTCTGCAGACCTTCTGGCCAGAAATGCTCCAGGGAGTGAAGGCGGAGAAGGCACCTGGCAGGTAGCCTCAGCCTCACCCCAGATGTTCTCCACAGCTGCCACTTTCCGTTTCCTCCTGCCTCATGGCCCAGAGTCCAACAGCAAGGTCCTCTGTGGGTCACCTTCCAGATGAAAGCAGCGGGCCCCGAGCTGTAGCTCCAGGAGCCCGCCCCTGCCCGGTCACCCTGTTCTGTGCACTGGCATGCTACACCCAGGGGGACAGGCCAGACACCAGCAGTAAGTTTAAGTGGTAAACATTCCCCCAACTAAAAAAATCATCATTATAGTTGGTAAATTATGCTCCCTCAAAAATGACTAAGTTCTTCAAATGGGATAAAAATGTGTCAAGCCAGAGAAAATCATTCAGTCCAGACTCTTTCCCTTCTAGTTCATTCTGCTTCACATGACAGGGAGTAAGCTGAGAGTTCTGTATACACTGAGGGGTAGGAGGGGAAGGGACGGTGACCAGGAGATGCTCCCCAAGCAGAGTATCTAATTGCAAGTCATTTTTGTTATATCCTACACAGGACCGAATAGAACAAAAGAAACATGTTATATAATGAATTATACTCAACATGCTCAAATAACAAAAATCTAAACCTAATTTCCTACAGTCATGGAAACCAGTACAAACAGATTTTACCACAATTCAATCCATACAACTTAACCCTTTTAAAAGCATATTTATCATTCAAATAAAACTCTAGAAATTCAATTTTAACATACTCTAGAACTATACCAAAATCTCAAACATGATTCTATTAATAACATCTATCTTTCACTTAAATAGACTCCAAATCAAAGTTATATGATCTGCAAGAGTAACAGGCTTTGGATAAATAATTAAGTTTATAATTGAAATAAGTCAAACTCAAGAACTTGGGCATGTTTGTCTTTAAAATCACCTTATAGATAAGACATCTCTATAAGAAGATTCAAGATTTCAGAACATCTCAGTTGAGCTCTAAACAGAAAAATGTTTTTTATACAAATTTAGTAAGATAACTATTTCTTCTCCATACTTAAAAGTATTAACAAGTATCTAGTAGAGGGAAAATTAGCCCCACCACACACCACCAAAGCAGCTGAACAGCATTTGGTATGCTCATGTTCCACAGGAAGTGTGGGGTGCAATGGGGGGCCTGCTTGCCCATGTGTAGATCAGCCACGAGCCCACCCAAGAAACTGCTAAGAAGCAGTGGCTGCCTCCCGAGAGGGAGTTCAACTTTTTACTCTATGTCCTTTGATATTATTTGCATTTTTAAATTTTGTATACATACTACTTTTTCATCCTGAGAAGTAAACGACCTAAGGAATTTGATGGGTAGTAAGGAAACGAATGCCTGTTGTCTGCCATAACGCAGGGAGTTGAGCCAGTTGTTTCCACATGCTGCTTAAACCAAAGGGCGCTCTGGAGGGGACAAAGGACCGACACAAACACGGGAGCACATGTCAGGAGAGGGACAAGGAGGGACACCTGGAGTCAGAGGCTGTTGCTCTCAGCCCTCTTATTTCTCACAGATTGGCCAAGAGGACTCAGCTGGGCCTACCGTCTGCATAAGGTGACTGTGATCGGAGCGGGTGGGAGGACACCTGGGTGGGACAGGAGGCAGCTTACAGCTGTTTCTACTAAGAGCTTTAGAAGAAAAGGTTAAAAAGGGTCCTGTCCGCTGCTGACTCTAGTCCACTGAGGGAGAAGAACAGATGGAGAGTCAGGAAGAGAGTCCTGGCCAGGAATGAAGGTGGCCATTGGCCTGGAACCCTCTGCTCCTGCAAGGCCAGGACCGAGGGAGTGAAGTGCAGGCCCAGCAAGGGAGGGGCACCTGCAAGGCCAGCCATCGAGATGCCTCTTAGGACCTCCGCCACATTCATCAGATCACTTTTCAACCCTCTGATCTGCCTCTGCCTGAAAACATATGTTAATCCCAAAGAACGTAAGAAAAAGAATCTTAATTGCTTGATTACATAATTGTGCTATACTGCAAACAACCATTTTAAATGAATGTCAAGTTTAAATTTTTCCATCACAACTGTCAAAATCCTCATTTAAATTACATTAATACTGAGTTACTGAATGCCACCATATATAAAGCATTATGATACACACCACATGGCTCTGAGCCACTATAAATTTGCAATTTAAACAGGATTTTGATGGTTATATCCCCCTCCCCATCACAATTTAATGTTAAACTAAATCTGTCTCATATTTCTAACATTTCAAAAACTCACGTTCTTCACATCTAGCAGTGAACGTCCTTATGTTCTCTCTTGCATTGCTGAAAGACTCTCAGAAAACCTCTTTGCAATTGTTCTCACTACTGATCAAACCCCCCCACTCACCAGCGTTCCACCTCTACAGCACACAGCTGAGCACGCCAAGTTCCCCTCCCTAAGGACCGTTTCAAACGCAGAGTTGTGCCTGAACTCCCTATCAGTCACTTATTTCCATTTCAAATGAGATTTCCTCTACATATCCAAATACAAACTAAGAAACTTTGTATTTAAACCAACATCCATTGTATTTGAAAAGTATAGAATATTTTCTACATAGAATAGAGAAACAAGCAGTAACTGATCAACAGTTTTCTACACTACAAATAAATGAAGAGCAAGAACATTTGCTATTTTAAATGGATGACTTCCATCCATAATTTCTCAACTAAAGAAAGGAGGAGAGTAACACTTCTGGAGCTACCAGAGGCTTTTACACATTTCATTTAATTCCAACACCAACCCTAGGAGATGGATCTCTTTAGTCCATGCCTCAGGTTTCCAACTGGTTATGGGACAAATCAATGAGGTATCACTTCTCATTTCTGAGGTCAAAACTGGCACCTCTAGCCTATCATTCTCGGTGTCCTGTACCTCCTATATGGCAAGCCGTCCTCTGGCGTTCCAGTACTGCTTTCTGGTGGTGACTTCACTACTCTCTTGCTGAGACGTTGCTATGTGGCTTTATCACTCACTTGCCGTTCTGGATGCGGATCTACAAGGGCCAGGGGACAGGACCCTCAGCACTGATGGTGCTGGCACTAATCTTTCCGTGCGTTCCATCTCCCCCTTAACTTGGCTCACGTGGACCCCCATCTGGATAGGCCCTGAGCTGCAGTCCTTCGACCTCCTCACCTCAATGGCCCTCTTCTCGCTTCCTCAACGCCCTAGAGCCGTGGTCAGCTGCAAAACCATTTTACCTGCAGAGCCCAGGCAAGTAACATGGAGTGATGGGCACTGAAGCACACCTGAGAAATCGCACTTCTAAAGGGGCAGCCGCTGCTCTGCTCCAAAGGACTTACTACACAGGAAGGACTTCAGGAACATCAGCTCAGCATTTCATCAGATTATCCACCTCTTCAGCCAGAAATCTAATTTGTATGGAGAATCTTGTGATTTTGTCAAATAAATCAAATTTTAAAAAATTATTTGGGCCAAACAAAGTGTGTCTGGGCAGAATGTGGCCTATCAGTTACTGGACTGTGTCTTTCATCACACAAAACCATGCCTCCAAAACTGCTAATTCAAATACACCATGCTCCGACCAAACCCTTTCCTTCCGTGCTGCCTGTGTGACCGTTACCACTGGACTGTCCGTCCTCACTGGACTTCATTCTCCCAGCCCCAGCCTTGTTAATACCCTAAGCTATGGCTGCCAACCTAAACTGGGTCCTGTGTCCAGCAATACTGTCTCTCCAACCTATGAACTATTTCAAAATGTCCTATTCTCCTCAAATCCCTGATTATCTTCTCTCTCTGCTCACCTTGCCTTACAGCATCTTCACTTTCTTCCTTCTACTACCTCAAAGATGTGCTAGCTTTGACCTTCCTCTGGGTTCTATCCCCTTCCAGCGTCCCGAGAACCAGGTACTACCAATAGTCACTGCTTAAGCCTAGAGAGGAAGGAAGGTTTTTTTAAAGCATCTTTAACCAATAAAGACTTTTAAAACCACCACCATCATCATACCAATGAAATTAACAATGATTCTTAACACCAGGCCATAGGCAAATTCCCCCACTTGACATGCCTCAAGTCCCTCCACTGAAAGTGGATGTGTGGAATACTGCATCCTGCTTTGGACTGTTGCTATACTCTACAGACACTTCGCTGGGACTTTGAGCGGCTATTCAGAAAACAAAAATATGAAATCAAAATGTCCAGAACAAGGTGAACCACCAGTCCAGCCCTTACTGTCAGATGGGATTCTCAATGCTGGGGTTCCTCGCAGCCTGGCCCCAGACCCTCCTCGCACCCTGCCCTGTGTCCCTACACATCCTCATCCGTTCCCACAGCTTCCGCGGGCATCGTTTCATCTGGCTGTAACTCTAGCCAACCTCTTCAATAAGAAGCCAAACACATACATCCACTACTTATCAGACGTCTTCCCTGGGATTTATCCGACATCTCAAACCCAACATCTCTGAGAAGGAACTGATGGTCCCAAAGCCTGCAGCTCCTCCAGTGCCCCTTATCTCTGAAATGCCACCATCTCCACTCGCTCGCTGGAGCCAGGAAGCCGGGCCCTCCCCTCCACTCCTCTCTCAAACTCCGCTTCCAACCACCTCTTAAGGGGTCTCTGCTTCACTCTTACCCCTCTACAATCCACTCTTTACAAAGCACCTCTCAGATCTCAACTCAGCGTGCTCAAAGCTTCCCAGTGGCTTCCTTCCAAGAAAGCCCATACTCCGCACTATGGCCCTACGTGACGAGGCCCTTTTAGATGAGCACTTACTCACCTTGCCAAGTTCAAGTCTAAATTTCTTTGTTTAGAACACAGCAAATTCACATCCACTTTGGGTCTTGGCAGCTGCTGTTCCTTTTGCCCACAACTCTGCTTAGTTCTTCCCACAGCTTCCTTGTCAGTCAACCCCGATTTAAGTCACCTCCTTCATGATGCCTCCCTGGCCACCTCATCTAAACAGCCTCCTTCCTGCCAACTGCTACCATAGGACCCTTATTATTTTCTTCAAGATGCCTATCACCATCAGAAATCTTCTGGCTCATATTCATCTACTTACTGTCTTACTTACCATCCTATCTCCAGTGTCCAGAAAAACGCAAACAGTGGCCAATATACCACCTCAACTACCTTCTTTCTGTCTTAAATTGAAAAACACCTACTTAGAACTTTTAAGATCCAATCTGTGTCAAGCTCCGTGTCATAAGCTATAAACTGAAATCAAGGTTTCTTCAATGAATGAATGACTTTATGTTATTTATTTACTACCGTCAAGTTCACTACAAGCAAATTAGGAACAGCTGGTAAATTTCATTCTTCTCTTTGCTGCCGTTGCTAATTTTAAACTAAGTAGAAGTGGCAACCCTTCCTCAAGGGACAGCACTCCATCGTTGGTGTCCTGGTTCTACTCATCTGTGCTAGGTCTCCAACCTAAACGCTTGCTGTTGCCCGTTTTCAACAGAATTTACAACTCTGATATACATGTATCCGTGACTGTAAAACAAGTTCTCACACAAATACTGCTCACAAGGTATTTAGTCTGAAGAAGCAGAAACAATAAACTATACTGAAGCAGACTGTGAAATCCAATTCTAAAATCCTATATTTAAGTTTTGTTCTTTAAAGTGTGACTTACGTGCGCTACATTTGACGGTCGGTTAATCTGCTGAATGTCAGCATTGTTAGTAATGTTTCTCAACGTCCGCACAGCTGGACTCCAGGCAGCTATCATTTCTGATCTTTCGGAACTTTGGAGATTTTGTCCAGAAGCCATTAAATTACCCCGGACATCAGGAGGCAAAATGTTACCTGGGACCGGCGGGACATTGGCACATAAATTAATCAACCCAGGCTCCTTCCCCTGAGGCAGCCTGCGCTTGGCCGCAGCTAACTGCGGGACCTCCGCTGGGGTCCAGTTTAAGTTTCTCTCTTGTTTCTCAGGAGAAGAGTCTGAAGAGTCATCAAACATTAGCTCCCCTTTGGATTTCTCGGTGTGTGACTTGGGCGAAAGCGGCTGGTCTCCTGTAGGAGACACTTCCTGAGAGCTCGCAGGGCTCGACTTTTCATCTGTGCTGCCCTCATGGTGGAAATCATGTTCCTCATTTTCTACGTCCTCTTCCTCCTCTTCCTCCTCTTCTTCCTCTTCATAAATAATCAGACGAGGATGATAAAATGCTTCATCCTTTTTGCTTTTCTCAGATACGCAGTCCAGGACCCAGTCAGGAGTTACAATTTTAATACTTGCTCGCTTTAAAGCACATTCATATTTCTCCTATGAGTAAAGCACAAACACAAAATATAGCTGTAAATTTTATCAAATTTCCTACAATTAGGCATTTTTAAAAAACAACTTTAGGCGAGGAATGCAGTTGAAATGTTCAGCAACTGTTATTGCCATTTTCTACACAGGAAAACTTTAACCATGTAGACAGAGGACATGAGCCAAAAAGTTAAAACCATCTATCAAGGAGCACAGGAAGATCTCATGCCTGCAAGAAGAGTCTTAAAAGGCTTTGTTTAAAACTAGATTTTTAAAATATTTAAAATGCAAAAGCAGAGCTAGAAATCCTATGGAAAATTATAAAGCAAATAATTGCTATCTAATCTAAGTTTTTATTCACTGATAATTCTTACAGAGCTGGTTTTCCATGGCAGGCTTATCGCAAGCAAGGTAACTGTGTGGCAGAGCACCTTCGGCACCAGGAGTGTGGCTGGCTTTCACGGGAAAGCGTGCCTGGTCATCTAGTGTCACTGAGCTCATTCGAAATGCTCAGTCGCACTAAGGGGTGGAGACACAAAGGATACAAGTCTCTGACCTAACAAGGTTCACAATTTAGTTCTAAAGAGAAGTTAAATGTGCAGTGAGATTACAATGTAGAACCAGTGCTAAATGATGGTAACAGATTGGAAAAGGATCCCACGAATGTGAGCTGGAGCACTCAGGGAAAGCCGCAGAAAGGTGAGCTTTGGCTGGGGCACGAATGATGACAATTTGCACTGTTAGGAAGAAAAGCCGAAAATACAGCAAAACGGAAAAGAGGTGCACAGCAGAGCCCAATGCAAGGCGTGTTAACAGGCAGAGGGCTCTCTTACTGGAAAGGGTGTAGAATGTGCAAGGCACAGTGGAATACCAAAGGAAAGCGGAAATAGATGGAAAATTTTAAATAAGAGTAAAGTTTGTAAATTTGGCTCCACTAACTAATAGAGTCTCCCCGACCTGATTCTAAAAGCCTAGCATATAACAGCAATTCTCTAGCAAATACGTAATTGAGGCCCTAAACTCAACTCCTGTCCTATCGTGGAGCCCCAGGGTGGCACCTGCAGTGTACATGGCCGGGTAAGAACCACCCTGGACGGGGCATGGGAAGGAGAGGGCTAGCTGAGGACACGTCTAGTCTTCTGGCTTGAGCAGAAGCAGACTGGAGAACGTGAAGCACAGAAACCTGGGGCAGGTATCTCCTGGCAAAGAGTGAGCTGTGGAAAAGGCTACGTGATTCGACCTATTGTGTTTGAGGATGTTCTTTCTTAAGACTTTTTAAAATACAAGTAAAATTTAGTCATGGGAGATACCCATGAATAAAAGGCTAAGGAAAATGAACATAATCACAATCACACTGACTAGAGAGGACCACACTTAACATTTTCATAGTATCTTTGTGTTATAAATATACACGTATATATACTAAAAGGGTAAAGGAAGGACACATATTGTTAGTATACAAACACTTTATAAGGTGTTTTTACTTAATATATGATAAACTATTTCCTCCTTTGTCAAGATGTATGCTTTTATGCTGGCATTTTTGTTTTTAATTTTTTTAAATGTACATTTTCAAAGACAGCCCAAACCAGAGACTGTTGTAATAAACTCCCTGCACCTGTCACCTGGCTTAAATAACCGGCAACCTTTCACAAATCTTGCTTCATCTATCTCCTCCCTGACTTTGTTTATGTATCTCTAATTAATAAAGGCTTTCTAAACCACTACCATAATCATACCCAGTAAAACTGACCATGCTCCGTCTCACATTCAGGCCTGTTCACATCTCCCCAGTCATCTCACAAGCCTGTTTACAGTCGCACACAGCAGCTCTGACGTCAGCATGCTCCTCCGACGCGTGGCTATATGACTCACTCAGTCCCTGGTGTCAGACGCTTAGTGGCACACAGCAGCTCTGACATCAGCACACTCCTCTGACGCACAGGACCTTGTCCGTCCCCTAGTATTGGCCACTTGTTATTTCTAGTGTTTTGCTACTATGAAAAACTGGAGTTGTATTTTATGATAAATTCCTAGGTTTTGGTGTTCAGGTTTTAAAAGTAATAGAAATTTAAGGCTTCATATCTGTAACTATACTTCCCTCCCAAAAAGCCTATTTATACTTCCACCAGCTATGTAGGAGTATATCAATTTACCTACACCTTTGATAGTAAAACTTCTTATTCCTATCCTAAACATCATGTTCTTAAATATTTAAGTATAAAATGTTATATAGATTCCCCCCACAGTAAATACAGACAATAAATTTGTATGGAAGACTACAGAGCTTCAATTTCTGGACTACTCATCCAAGAACCTCTGAGTTATTTTAGGAAAATATGAAGTCAGGTATGCATAAAAATATTTACAAACTAAATATTTAATACAAATGTACAGTATGCTTGCATAACATTTATTATGTATAATATGGTTTACATATTATTTTTCCAAAGTAGAATGATATTTCTTAAAATAATAAAATATGAAATAAAATGATTTTTAATTCTGCTAACAAACACCAAAAACAAAAACTACTGCCATGAAAAGGAGTCACTGACAATTTTGGATATTAAAGAGAGGACTTCATATGTAAGAGTTTGGGATCCACTGTGGTAGTCTCTTGAGTTCCTAATTTGTATAAAGTGCTGGCATTTCATGTTTCAGGAATGACTTGATTGTTTCCTATGCAAATCTAAGTAAAACATTTCAGTAAATTGTCTTATCAGATTTCACTGAAGTTCTCTCTCATTTTTCACAAAATAAGTAGCATTTGTCACTAAAAGACAGTTACTGCTTAAGCAAGGACGAGTTGAGAGCACAGCAATGTCTAAACACCTTTTCCCGAGCCACCTTATCAGCTACATTCTTCTAATCCTTGAACACTAATAAACTGTAACTTATTAAGTGCCAAGGACCTCAGGAGCTAACAGCAAAGTTTGAGGGTCAGGGGTACCAGTGGGGGGCTGGAGTGCTGGTCGTGTGCACCTCCCCAGCTTAAGTAGTTTGAAATCCCCGTGGCAGGAGTAGTTACACTTGGAAATCTGCAAATGCTACAAACCAGCCCTCTCCCCGCAAGAACTAATAACCATATCTTGCTTCTATTCGTTTTAAATTTATGAATTTCTCCATTCTTATCAATTTCAACTGAAACTTTTAAACTTCTGAGAACATAAAAGGTAGTATCACTATGCCACTTGCCCAAGTTTTCTCTATGCACTCATTAAAAAAATGCAAAAACATAAATTTACTTAAAAATAAAATGCCATTTATTTTTGTGTGTAGTCAGCTAGTCTCTATTTAGCACTCACACAATTTATAAATTCAAAAGTGTTTAAATTCATCATATTAGGTTTACAAATTTATGTCTGATTATAGAATATAGTAATATGATGGAATGGTCACACTTCAGTATTTTTAAAGGGATTTAATTTCAAATACTGCAGTTATTTAGTTATATAAGCCACAGATATAATCATGAATCAAGAACATAATGGCCAATTAATCTACATTAACTTAAAACCATTTTGGTTTTATAAATAGATGATGCCAGAACATATGGTTCCCCCAGTTCATTTGACAGACTGGTGCTTCTCATCCTTTAGGAGAGAGCTGGGAAGAAATGCGGAAGAGGCCAGTTGAAGCGGAATCACAAGCCATAGGAAGCTGTGTGGCCCGCCATGACCCAACAGCAGCATGGCAGTACTGCCTTAGACAGAGATGGCAGAGGGACTAAGTACAAATTCTAACTCGGTGATACTAAAGAGGAGTTGGTACCACGCTCCCTGAGTTTTGGAAATTTATGAGGGCCTTATTTTATTTTTCACAAAAGCTGGTGGGACATGGGGATTGGGGAAACGCTAAGTCCTAAAAAGACCTAGACAATGCTACTCAGCTGAGGAAGTATCCCACAAACAACATTCCAATGAGGCACCATCAAACATTCAGATAAAAAAGTTATCTGGTGCCATGTACATTAATTTTTCAGGAAAGCAGCTACTAAAAAAAAAAAAAAAAAAAATCAAAGGATAATTATTCCTATCTTATTCAAAAAGTTCCTAAAAGTTGATCACTCATCTTTAAAAATTAGATTTTATTGGAATATCACATCACTAAGGGCCACATCACTTAAGGTTTTTATGTCATCATTACAACAGACACATGACAGTCTTTTTTGGTAGCTGTTATATTCATGATGATTCCACTAATATATAAACATATAAGCTCATATATACATATATGTTACATATATATAAATATCTTACTACATTGTCTTTCAGAGTAGTTGTACTTGAACATTCAAAAATCCTGTATACTTTTCATTAACAATTCCTTTCTTTTTATTTTACATGTGGGCATTATGGTTTCTTAAAAATTATTTAGGAACAATAAAGTATGTACAGACAGGGGTAACTGTCACCAAAAGGGGTGGCAGGTATCTGTGTTTCCATTTCTTCCTGGTGACTGCAGGACTGACTTCCTAGCATGCTATGAGCATTACTGCACTGGCACTTAGTAAGTGCTCACTAATGGCTGCCTGTTGTTATTTGTATTACTGGCAAACACAAAACCTGATTTTAACAAGTATTTACCATTGCAGGAGAAATGCAGTAAGCACTAAATAGTAGTTTCAAGCTGGGCACAGTGGCTCATGCTTGTAATCTTAGCATTTCGGGAGGCTGAGGTGGGAGGATTGCTTGAGGCCAAGAGTTCAAGACCAGCCTGGGCAACACAGCAAGACCCTGTCCCTATTTTTTAAAAATAAAT